TACATAATGTGGTGACTACAATCCGGTAGAGTCACGTGAGGCTAAGTACGGGAGATTGGTGTGGACTCGTTCCAAACAGACGCTGATTCCTCCTATGAAGTTCATTGATTTTATTAAGTTAAAACCACATCCAAGCGGGCGAAGCGATACACGATGTGCGATGATGCAATAAAGTGCGCTGTAGAATATGGTCAACAAAAAGTATCGTCTCCCGACTCACCCCCATGTCCATACAACCATCACTCTGCCTGGGTGCCTACACTCATTCATAAACCACTGCACACCTGCCCACGTGATTCTGATGCTAATTACATTTCAAAATAAAGTACCAACACTCACACACAGGAAGTGGCGTTCGGCCGCTACACATAATATAGTATGAAAACAAAAGGAGTTCCTCTGGCAAGCAAAGAAGATTACTTCATGTCGTTAGGTGCTCTGCTACACATTCACAGTTCTGACAGAGGTCATGAGTACACAATACTTTGGTACCATGTCGATGCCAAAATTCTGATGATGCTACATTTCGTCTGTGTTGAAATTGTCAGGAGAAAAAGTACAACGTCTGTTGACATCAGCCCGGTTAGCAGCTGGTGGACAGAATAACAAACAATAATGGAGCCTGCAATGAGTTTTATTGTGATGGGCAATGGTCTTTTCAGCCATAAAACGACAATACACCGAATCCATTTTTTGACGCTTCACTTTCAGTCTTGACGCTTGAGGGCAGTAACTGCAGAACAATACATGCTTTCAAGTCAGACACCACAAAAGTCTGGAGTAATGGACGCCATTAAATACAGCAGTGCGCAAATATTGTTGACTGAGATCTGTTTTATGAGTCTCCATTAATGAACGGAAGCCTCATGATCATAGAAAATAAAATAAATTGGGCAGAGAAATCGATAATACATCCCATCATTGCGAAGTTCTGACGTAGTATCATGACAGATGTTTTTCTCCTATTCCTGCCAAAATATTTGAGTGGGGAAACAATTTGAGAGAGAATTGTTTCAAAGTCTTTCTCTTCAGCTTTCATGGAGGTAAACGCTAAGTAAATGTTAACTGTCAGTGCCTAACTGTGGGGAAAGACAAAGGGGATAAACAGCTCATTCTTAATCCCCAACACTGACATATCTCTCCTCAATTTCTTGTCGATGGCTGTCAGACAAGAGAAAAACAGAGTAGCATGAGCTCTGCACCTGTGGCAGAATAGGAGAAGAAACAGAGAACCAGGATGAGACGAGGATCGAGGACCTGACAGAGCGACGGCTGCTCCGATGGGCGGAAGAGGAGTGCATGGCTAAGAGCCTTCGGGGCACCAAATAACCGAAAATCACATTCATTATTGAAACAGTGATGAGCTGTTTGGCAAGAAGAGGAGCAGCTGCACCCTCTTATTTGCTTTTCAGCTGTACGGTTGTAGTTATTTCGATTCGCGACAGCATGGATAAACAAGCCTCCCAAAACTCTGTCTGCTTTCATTCTTTATGTCAAACAATGTGACGATAATTAGCCGATGGCTATTGAGTCACACGGCAAGAAGCTAAATAAATAAATAAAAGCCACACGCTAACTGATGGGAAAACAGATGAGATATTTCTTTGTCCCTGGTTGTATCAGTGTCAAGTTGTCGAAGATGTCATCGGGAAAATGAGGCAACGGCTCAGTTAAAGGTACCACACAACTATTCCGGACACACACACACACACACACACACACACACACATTTACAGGTGTCACAACTCACTTTCTAATAGACATTCATTGGGCACTGTACAAATGTATATGCATTTTGCTGTTATTTATTGTCTTGTGTGTCTTTGCTATATTCTCTCCTCTGATCTCTGAACTTCAGAGGGCGGAGCTTAAACAGGCTCCTCTGCAGTCTGCCAGCTAGAGATTTCCTGCACAGGAACAAGCACGCAGGCCTATGCGGCGGTGTTGGTCTTCTGCCAGCCTCAAAGAAAACCTGATTTTTTCTCTTTTCGTACGTAAGGTGGGTCACACTGATACTAGTACTGAAAAGATGCAAATTCATCATGTTGTCCGTTGAAAAAGGCATGTTGCATCCACAGACCCCAAACTCATGGGTAAATTAAGTTTGGTGACCTCAGAGTATTCACTGCATTATAATACATTACAAGTTTTTTTTTAAGTCCAAAACAATTAAAGGGAAAAGTATGAACACAACAAAGCAATAAATCATGATTAATGAATTTCAAAATGGGAAATTAATCAGTTTTTTTTAAACTATTGATGGCTCTAGTTTTTAGGGATTCAGGATGTTGCTGATGTTGTTTGAGGTTGTTTTTGCAATTGAAATGCAAATAAAACTTTCATTCAGTCAGCATTTACAGAAGGCAATCCAATTTAAATAAAACAAGTCATTATTTTACCACACTTCAATTCTCCCTGCATAGATGGTGTTAAAACTCTTTGACATACCGGTATTAGAAGTGCTGCAGTGCAAAACAGCACACAATGCAAACAGCAAGTGATGTTCAATGATGCGACTGTTTCATTGACTGGCTGCTGAATTGCTTCACCTGCTGCATAACAATGTCTTTGAGTCAGCTGTAACAACCACAAAAAAACTCACACAGAATGTGCACTTATACTTGCACATATAAATACAAATAAGGTCATGCATACTAATGTACTTATATTACACACTAGCATACCAGGGTGGCAGCAGGGGGGTTGGTTTCTGGGGCTTCAGCCGGAGATGTTTTGTCAAAAAACAGGATCTTTTAGGGTGTTATGACCGCAGAGTATTGCTGTATGGTATACAAATACTAGAAAGGTATTGCAAAATGATGAAATACCACATTCTATCGGTAGCGGTACTTTTATAAGACATTAACAACTCAAACCCCCCTTGTGTTTAGGCTGAGCCCCAAATGTTTAAAACGCCTTGGACCAACACTGAAACACACCTAAAGCCTAAAGTAAACTGATGAATGAATAATGTGCGCACACACATACCCTGGCTTGCCGTTTCAGCAGGGACAGAACGGCCAGCCTTGAAATCAGTGCAAGGAATGCAGACGTTGAACTTGGCCAATTAAACCCAAATAACACTTTTTCTTTGATCCTTTTTGTCACTTCACCCAGCTCCTCCATCTCTTTCTCTCCGTCAGCCTCCACCCCTTTTTTTGACACTCCCACCTCCTGCCTCTCTTTCTGTCAGTGCCTCCCCCTCCCTCCACCTTCTTGTCTCTTAACAAATTCTCATTAAAACAGTTCCCAGTAGTCTCTCAGGAGAGAGGAGGAGGATAAAAATAACTCTTCTTCAGCTTCTCTTCGCTGGTTCTGTCTTTCACGCCTGCGTTCCATACAACAAATAACTGTTTCTTCATAATAACCATCGTTTCTTCTTCTTCTCTCTTTATTCCTCTCAGTCGCTCCTTACTCTTGTTCTAATGCTTCTCCTCCAACCGCACACACCTGTCTTAAAATGCCGTTTGCAGCAGCAATGGAGTTGTTGAATCCCCCCCAAGAGACCGTTACAAACAAAACAAAAAGTGCCACATCGAGCATTGCTCACTCACATAACCACACACACACACACACACACACACACACACACACACACACACACACACACACACACACACACACACACACACACACACACACACTCACTCATACACACAGTACGATCGGAAAGTCATTCCCAAGCTCAATTAGGAAACGTTTAAAATGCTGCGTTCACATTCAGGTCCAACAGCTAGTAAGCTACACGCACCAAACACGTCACACAATTAAAATACACATACTTCCTCATTTAAAAAGGTTTACTATAAAACACATTATCGAAAAACTGACACAAAGCCAGTAGGCCGTCAGACTGACGTGAACGGTGGGCGCTGTCTATGGTGCTGATTTGTTCTGCAACATCAACAAGATAGAGAGAGAGAAAGAGAGAGAGAGGAGAGAGAGAGAGAGAGAGAGAGAGAGAGAGAGAGAGAGAGAGAGGGAGAGAGAGAGCATTTTACTCAACCTATTTGAAGGGGAGAAAAGCTCAAAAACCACTTCGCAGTTGAAAGCACCAAAATGTCATTATCAACCATATACTTTGTCTCAATATCTAAATAGTTGCGCTTCTCGGGAGGAAATCTATTAAAAGGCTGACAGGCTGCAAAGCCTCTACATCGAAGTCGTGCTCAGTCCAGCTAGTGCGGGACGGCACGTCATCGAACAAATGGTTATACTCCAATAATCAACTTCTAAAGTTCCTCTACCTGTGTGTAATTTCTAAAGGGTGAACATCGGGACAAAAAGACAAATCTAGAACTGCTCAATGCTATTTCAGCTACTGTTAAAATCATTTCAAAATGAAACGCAAAGATTGTCGCTGTCCACATATTTAGGGTAGTTTCAGGTTATTTCACTTATGTTTAAGGGAACATGGACAAAAGTATGACTGCAAGAAAGTTTTTCATCCTTCCCAACAGAACTTTTTTTTAGGGTTGCTGTTTCAGTTTCGGTACAGATGGAACCAAAACAGTTTTGGTTGAAAATGAAAACTACAGTCTGACGTCCAGCAGAATATAACAGAATTGTTACATCTTAATAAATTCAGCATTAAATCAACATACATTAATGTTCGGTATATGCTCTCCTTGAATACATTTTCGCAAAACAGAGCTTAAGAGGCGCCAAAGACGAAAGAAAAACACACACACACACACAAGTGGAAGCAGTAGAAGAGCAAATGACCATCTGGCTGCTATGAAAACACAGCTTTTTATCCCGTTTCCTCATTAGTTAAATTATTTTTAGTCAACGACAGTGATGGGAGCAGGAGAGGAGGGAAAGGATGAGTGAGAGGAAAGAGCAAGATGACATGTAAAAGGGAGCAGAAAGAGAGAGAGAGAGAGTAGCAGTTTGTGCGATGCCAAAGAGTATAAAGAAATCACTCATTGGCAAAGCAACGCAGTTGCTAACCCTAAACAGTAACAAGCATATTATACGAACATAATTAATTCACTCACCATCTTTGTCAGCTCTTCTGAATATCTGTGAATAGAAAGCAAGAAGGTGCAATCAGTGTCATTGGAGGTATCGGCCGGCAGCTGAAGGACGTATGAACAGAGTGTAGAATAAAAAAGCCTTAACAGGAGGGCAGTATTTTTTGCATCGCTTTATCTATAGCTAAACAAAGGGTGTGCACATCTTTGTCAATGGCAACCCATAGTTTACAACCTATTTTGCTGGCTCTACTGCAAATTGCCTCCATGGTTTTTCTAAGGTTACACCTACAACTATGTAAACTGAGCCGGTATTTGTCAGACAATTCGTCCAGGGTTCAAAACCTGGGACCACTGGAACCCAGAGAGCAGATCATGCCACCAGAGGCATACCAGTCTGCCAGTTTTTATTGTTGGATGGATCCATCCCCCATGCTCTCTATCACATAGTGGAATTTCGTATTAAGGACAGCTGCATAAGGATTAAGTTGTCGAATTGGCGTATAAAACAATTATGTACACGTGGACACAAAGCTAGGCTGCTGATCAGCTAACAGAGTCATGATTACCCGTCGTGGAGGCGCGCACCACATGGCATCCGCGCAGGAACACGCGTTAATTTACAGCTTGGGTGGAACATCCTCTCTTCCTGTGGATTTGAAAGTTGCACGTCTCCTACTTTCATCCCGGTTCCAGAGTACTTTGTTCACTGTTTCTATTGTCTACTGCCAGCAACAGCACAGCGACAGAGAGATGGGGGCAGGAGGTTGATGCATGGAGTTACTTTGTGTTTCTAGTAATTTGTTCCACAAATCCATCTTGGCGAGAATCTGATTTAGACATAATACGGCTTGTTTTACAAACAAAACACCTTTTAAAAAGGTTCATTCGAATGAACTTTCTTATCAGGTTTCTGAAACCATGGTAAGTATTTAAGGTAAGTTGTTGAGGAGTGTTATCATGAGCTGTTGGAGGCCGTTAGGATTTTCTGGAAAATGCTCAATCCAATTCAACTTTGACTTTTTTTGTACTCTAGCCTCCGTCTGAGCAGTTGTCTGTCACTTTAAGGTCGAAGGTGGGAGTCAGGATGGGGGTTAGGTCTTGTGCTGGGGGAAGGATGGAGATGAATCACATTTGGTTGGGCTTAGGTTCAAGGAAGTACGTTTAGGATTAGTTTTGAAGCAACTTCCCATTATATAAAATGGGAAAATTTCTAGGATATAAAAAATCTGTGCAGGATTAGCATAATAAAGCCTCCTTAAATGGTGGTCCTGTTTAAATGTCTAATTTGCATGCAGTAAGGAAAAACAAAACCCGATGGCGCTGGCAGGTTGGGTTTAACGGGTTCGATTTGTAGGTTTCTTGGTCCAAGGTTGTTTCCATTCCTGGAAGGCCCAATGCAGTGCAAGTATGTTTTCATTCTTATGTTTTTTATTTAGTTTGAGCTTTTTTCAGGGACATTCAACAATAAAAGAGCGATAAAGGAAAGGGGAGGAAGGATTTCCCCACAGTAGTCTGCTGTTTATTTGCAATTAATCTTTTCCTATATGTTGTAAAAATGTACGGTTGAAGGATCATTCAATTTCACAGCATACTGGCACATTTGCTTTGAATTATCTTTTAAAAATCATTCATTTCAGAAATCATTTTAAAAGATAGTTCATAAAATAAAAGTCAGTGCAGCAATCAGAGTGTTCCTAATGTTTCGGCCCAACAGCCTTCTTCGGTTGGTTTAAAACCTTCATCCCACCAGTATGTAGTCTCCAGAATATAAAACCATGCAACACTTATATTATTATCAATAAGTATTATTGTCTCAATGCAAATAACCAATTGGCAAAGTTGGTTATTGCTGTTTAAACTAACAATCTCTGACTCTCACATCAAGCTAGACTGAGATCAATGATCAATAATGAACAATTTCCATAATTGATAGTTTAACCCTTAAAGCAGCCATGAACACAATTCGGTACGGCCGCCAGCGCTGACGGTACGCCAAAGTCGTCGGCTCTCCTGCTGCACCGGAGGGTCTACTCAAGGAAAACAGCCAATGTGTGGCAGTGTGTGTGTGTGTGTGTGTGTGTGTGTGTGTGTGTGTGTGTGTGTGTGTGTGTGTGTGTGTGTGTCTAATAGAGAGAGAGAGAGAGAGAGAGAGAGAGAGAGAGAGAGAGAGAGAGAGAGAGAGAGAGAGAGAGAGAGAGAGAGAGAGAGAAGCAGCAAACAGTGACAGAGGGAGGGAGATTGTTGCATCCATCTCCTAACCTTATTAAGAATGGATGTTTTCTTGGCCTGGTTGAGGAGTAGAGGAAGATGTGATGCCCGAGAAGAAAAGGAGGCAAGGAGGGAACGGAGGGGGAGGGGAGGCGGATGAAAGGAGTTTCAAAGAATGGAAAGAACGGTGCATATGGTCTAAGATGAAGGAAGCAGGATGTGATTAGCAACAAGCAAGTCGAGACGGTCTAATGAGCAGGATGCTGCCCGGAGGCACACACTCACACACACACACACACACACACACACACACACACACACACACACACACACACACACACACACACACACACATACACACCTGCAGCGATCATGTAGTCCCTTTGGTGTGGATTTCTCAAGTGTATTTTCTTCAAGTGATAATAATGCCGGGGTTACTAATATCAGAGAAGAAATTTCAATTTCAAAGTTTAAAGCAGGAAGTGTGCCGGAGAGGAAATGCCACAAACGTGGGGTGTCAGTGTGTTTAGCTACAAATGTCATACCGAATCCTTCATTGAAAATGCAACACGGTGGAAAACAACGAGTTTGAGGTTAATCATAAGAATAATCTGCCGTTAAGTGTTTCATTTGAAAATTGTCCTTAAACGTATGTTTATTGTTTGACATTGTTGTTTTAATTAAAAAGAAGTCTGCCATCTCCCCACTGCCTGTGACCAAAACACTTCCATGATAGAACTGAGTAAGACCAGAAGAAAAAACATGGGTCACACATCGGAAGCAGGTCAAAGAGCCATTTATTCGGGTACTTGGATGCATTGGCCCTGTAATGACTTTCCTCTGTAGCCCTTCTTTGTTAAACTATTCCGGCCGTGGTCCTACTCCAATTACTACTACATCATTAAATCATCAAAAGAGAAATCAATTCAATCTCCATAGAGCAAATGAAACTGGGCGGTGGGGGAAAATAACCATATGCACGAGGTGATCCAGATCGACATGGCGCTGCGTAACTTCTCACACAGAAACCTGCACCTTTGGAGATATCCGCCGACTAAAACAAGTTCGGGGTCCTGTTACAACTCGATCTAAAAAATATATATCACAGTGAGAAGTTTTCATGAATAATTAAAAAACCGAGGATTCTGTGATGCTGCTTTTTTTGTCCTTTCGCTGAGCGGTGAGATGCGCGTCGGACTTTCTTCACAGTAAACTAGGACCTAAAGCAGCGATGCGCTGCACTGTTCTGGATTTACGATGACTTCTGTGTGGGAAAGGAGCGCCGACTTTGGGCCAAGTTTAAGGGCGGATTGGTTTAACGTATGCAACATTTTTGTATTGGACCGGTGCGTAAGTGCGCACAGCACCGGTGCCCTTACGCGCTGCTCGCTGGACGCCTCCATCGCCCCGAGACACCCTCCCGTCTATCCCCGCGAGGCTGACCGCAGCCTCCCGATACTCACATCCAAAATCACGGAAATGCCTCTCCGCGGCTCGGGGGCAAAGAACTGCTCCTGCGCCACGGCCACGTCCTCCTTTCTGGAGGCGTAGTCCTGGCTGGAGATGTTCTTGTTGTCGCTCATTTTGGTGACGATCCAGCGGACGAGCCCGTCGATTCCACCGGGCTGGGCTCCGCTGTTTCCGGACTGCGCTGCCGTCGCGGACTCGCTGTCCTGACTGGCTACGGGGTTCGGCTGCTCGCGGCTTTCCTGCGCTCGAAGTTTGGCTTGTTCTTTGTTGAGCAGTTTGTGGACTCCGTCCCTACAGTAGCGCGCTGCCTGCTCACACATCCTTTTTGCTGCGGAGCGCTCATGCTGCGCTCTATGGGGTTACATCACAGCACCCAACTCAACAACACACCCACTCATCGTACCCTTCCCTCTTGCCTCCGATATTGATATTATAACGAGCAATAGTCATTATATTTTCATGGTTGGAGAATTTACTTTGAAGCACATACTGGTATTTATTCTTATAAATTCAACATTCAACAATTCAACAATTCAACATTCTTATTCTTATATATTGAATATTATCTCATATTTATATACAGTATAAGGGAAAATACCTCTCAGAGACCTCTCAGTGTGTGTCCTGTGGGTCATAAGAGGAGTGTCTATTGAACTGTCAGTTCAGCTCCTCATTATAGTTTTAGGTGTGTGTGTGTGTGTGTGTGTGTGTGTGTGTGTGTGTGTGTGTGTGTGTGTGTGTGTGTGTGTGTGTGCGTGTGTGCGTGCGCGCGCGTGAAGTGTGGTGTGAGGGGAGGGGGGAGGGGGTGACATATCTAACCTTTGGTAATGAGCGTCTTCAGCTCGTGCCCTTTTAGCAGAGCGTTTAGTCATGCCTGCCGTGTGCCTATTGTCCAACACAAGAGCGCTTTGAAAAAATTAACTTCATGTGGAAAGTTGACACTTTAACAAGACACAAAAAAATGAATAAAGATAATGATCTGTCATGGATTCAATCCCCGAGGCACTAGATTTGGTGAACTCCCTTGACATGACTGCCCCCATGTGGACGGAGTGTACAATGACAGGCATTGGACAGGTGTTCTCAGCAGGTTTTTATCGTTCAGTATTTACCAACACAAATGTGACGAACAGAAATAATTATTCGGCGCAAATAAATGTCCCCAATGACATTAGAGTTCAGGCATTGAACAAATCATTTGTCAACACATTCAGCTGGAGCATCATGAAACCATTTCAACTTCAAGAGGCTTCAGTTAAAATCATTTGCGTATGTGTCGGAGGGCGCCTGGAGATGATCCACCTGCCAAACCACGGCCCGCAGAGCCTCCTGGAGGGGCCACGACATCAGAAGTATTTTGGTCTTATCCCGCAAGAATGGCGTGCACCTCTTTCACTGTGAAACCAGGGTCGTCCAACTAGAAAGAGGGCAAGCGATGGGAAATCCATCGCAGATATATTACAATGTTTAAGACATTATTTCAATTGAAGCCTTTTATAGAAGCTGGAGGTCTGCGTGTGAGAGCCAGACTGCAGCACTCTCTTTACTGAAACCGTCCCAGGATCAATTGGCCAAAGCTTGCTTCACTGCCAACCCTAACTATTTTCCATTGATTTTTTTTAATTTGCTTTTTGCACAATGGTAAAATGCAATGAATCACTTCCATTGTCAGCGTAACCAGTGCTCCTTTGAAAATATCATGTTTGAAAGCTTTAATTGACCTCAATCTGGTTATGTCACGGTTTGGGTTCATCCTGAGGGTTCGTCCTGTTTTATTTTGTAGTTTCTTGCCTCTTGTCTCCCTGGGTAACTTCACTTCCTGCCTCGTCCTGTCATCCCCTGTGATTGTCTGTCGTGTCATGATTGTTTCCACCTGTGTCCAATCACCTGCACCTCCCTAGTGTATTTAAGCCATGTGTGTCTCTTGTCACTTGTTAAATGTTTGGGATGTTCCTGGTTCCCGTCTGCATTTTCGCCCCTTGGCCCTTTTTGGATTTGAAGTCTGCGTTTTGAGTCCTACCATCTCCCTGCACCCTGACAGGTTATTTCCCTTGTTAATATCTGCCCATTATCTTTACCTGAAAAGAGAAGAGATGAGAGAAGAGATGGACTGCATAAGAATATATTCTTGCAGGGGGTGGCCAATTTGTGACCAGAGAGGCATAATTTGCCGCAGTGACCTTTGACCACCAAATTCTAATGACTTCTTTTAGTTCAAGTGGGCGTTTATTTGTTGGCCTAGCGACCTGTCCGTTAGCCAAAGGATTTGAAGAAATTCCCCTCAAGTGTTCCTGGGAAATGGTGTCACACGGATTGCCTCCTACGCCTAAAGCTAAGCTAGAAGGAACGATAATTTATGACACCACATAATTCCACTTGTTACATCATATTTCCATTTGGGCATTTTGGGTTGTGTTGTGTGCATGCATACAACCGCAAGGTGGGAACTGCAGTTTTGGGCTCAGAGCACAAGCCTAATAGTAAGTTGAAAAACATATTCCACTGCAAATGTTCATCCTAGTTGCCTTGTTGGGTGAAGATTTGGTCACGTCTGGGTGTATTAAAGCATGCCTTTGCACGCTCAGGTTTTGTGGCAAGTTCAGGCCGATCCTTGGGAACATTCCCTCTCCAGTTAGCGTGATGACCAACTCCACTCCGTTTTTGTAGTGGATATAAAAAACAAAAAAAGGAAACCTAAACATTACATGTTTATATATATATTTTCATTAACAAATACAAATGACTTTTTAATGGGTATAGCTTGTTGGGTTAACAATCTGAGCAGATTCTACGTGCGTCTACGTAACTGCAACATGCGTAGGGTCAAGGCTATGTGACATACTAAGGAATCATCTTAGACTTCCATCTAACATTTGATAAACAAGTGTGTAACATCAGCAAAAAAGCTGCTTCAGATTAATCGGAAGGTATCTGCTGTTCAGCACAGCTCAGCTCTACATGCAAGCCCCGATATTCTCACACCTCATACTGCATCATTACCTGGGCAAAAACAACTGTACAACCCATAACGCCAACGATCATATTACTCTGCGCAAGGCCTCATCTGGACAATCAGTCTTCTCTGTTCAAGGAGCAAAACTGGAACAGTCCAACAACAGAATTGAAAATGCTACACAATGTATAATAATGTTTTCAATAGAGGTATCAAGTTATGGTTAAAAGAGAAGCAACATTGCTCCCTCGCCTCTCAACACTCAACACTGAAATACACCTGAACTGTGTGTATGTATCTATAGATGTATTTGTGGATCTTTTTGTTCTGTTCTGTATTTTTTTATTGTCCTTTAAAAAAGGCTCCTGTGGGCAGGTGATTTTTTAGCTTAGAGCTTTGCTACAAACACCAAACATAGTCCATCTAGTTCTTTTGCATTTTATGCCACAATACTATGGCGCTTTGACGTATATCAAATACAGTTTATATAACTAAAATGAAAACTCCTCTCTGTGCTTCCTTTGTTGATCCATCTCATGCCAGCCATACTCCAGCACCAGCACCACTGCCCCTGCAGCTGGATCCCTGCCATCAATATCCTCCTCCAAGTGCAAATTCTTGCTTACCAACTCTACTCCTGCATTTGGGTCTTAGGAGCAACAAAGAAAGCAAATGTACTTTGGATTATTCCTTTGAGCACAAGTATTTCAGAATGTGTTCATCACACTCGTTGGGGTAATTAAGTGTGTTCTAAGAGGAATTTTAATATGCGAGTAGCAGGAAACAGGTCAGCAGGGAAGAGAATGATTTCAGTTTGCATGTGCATCAGTTAGTCCCGCAGAAATCCTGAGCCATGGCGTGTGCGCTAAATGACGATTGAGCAAAACGACCAGCAGGGGGCGCTGTTGTATGACCAGTCTGTGACGAGCTGGCCTGACGTCTGCCCCCCCCAAGCAATGACCTCGGAGCCAAGGGACACTGCATTTCAAATTCTTAAATAAGAGGGTTCAATTTTGGGGGGGATGGGCTGAAAAAAAGACATACAAGTTTTTTGGGGAAAGACTTTTAAAACCCACTGGTGCGGACAGAAGAACAGATGGTGAGACAGCAGATGATGACTCTGCAGATGATGACTCTATCTCTCTCCCCAGAGAGTGGGAGAGAAAGGGGACGAAACTCTTGCTGGTTTAATGCTGGTTTACATTATTTTAAATTATTAGTAAATGTTTATGTATTCACAGCTGTCAACACAAATACTAGCCTTTGGCTTCATCCCTTCAACAGTTTCCCTGTTTTCGCCTCTAGTTTAGGACACATTTTCTTAACAAAAAAAAAGCTCCAGCAAGGATTTAGTTTATGAAAGAAGTGTTCCGGCCTTATTCCCAGTGGTTCAGAGTAACTAAATACATCCATCCTTAGATCGAACGATTGCCTATTTACATTTTTGTCACGATCAGAGGTGGCGCCTTGTTTACAACATGAGGATCCTTTATTCTTTGTTTTAGTATGTATTCAGCTTTCTGACTAAAATGTTGTCTTTGGTTTATTATTCATGTTGTTCATTAGCTTTTCATTACTATTGGTTGCAGTCCCATCTTGTTCGATGCGACACAGCATTGCGTTGTCCCTGTACTCCCTGTGTGCCATGGCGGTAAAGTTGAACATCATTTACTCCAATCGGATGGAAAAAAAGATGTAACTACGATAACTCGTTGCTTTGAAGATACGCATATTGGTGCGCTTTATTAACCTTGGATTCTGCAGTACATCGGAGCAGAGAGAATATATATGCATCTATATAAGTGTGTTCATTCTTGTACCATGAAGCTTACATTACAATTCAAGAACGGGAGTCAAGACAGTTTTTGACTGAAAAAAAATGTAACATTCCAGGTTTGAAAGACTGAACTTGAGACAATTTGAAAGTTGCTCAGGAACCTTCATTTCACCATTGCAATAGTCCACCTGGGCTTATACTAAACATCCTGCCTGTGAGTGATGACTTGGTGACTCTGTGCTTCACTGATCTAATCCGTCATGCCTACAAGTAGGTACAAGAGCGAGTGTGTGAACGCAGAGTGAGATCTCCATTTAATTAGCACGCCGGCCTGTGAGACGGATTGTCTCACAGGCCGGCGTGAGGTCAAAATCCAACTCGGAGAGGGTTGAGGAACGAGAACAAAGATAAGGATTTGGTAGTGAGCAGAAACAGAACAGCCAGAAGAGACAAGGGAACGGGAGGAGAGGAGGTAGGAGAAGAAAAAAAAAGGAAAGAGAAATTGGCAATGTAATAGCCTGAGATGAGGGGAGCTAAAAGGAGGAGTAGCAATAGATGAAAGAGGGGGAGGGAGAAAGAAAGACGCTGCCGGGTAATAAATCTTGTGGCGTTTTTGCAGTTAGTTGCTGCGA